ATATGTATGCAGCCTACACACGTGATGTTATGTAAGTTTAATTTTCCGCAGAGGATCTTGCAACTTGACACACCCGCGACCTTCCTAAGAGCTTTCGCAGTGTCAGACAAGAAGTAGGAGTCGCAAAATCGTGATTTTATCAGCAAAATAAACTGCAATGAAAGTCTCGGGCTAGCTTAGTGATTGAGACAGTCATAGAAGAGTGGAAACCCACCATCAGCTGGCTGATCTGACTGGTTAGCTAATGCTGATTCAGTCGACGGTAATTGAGGGTGATACTGTCCCCCCTCATCCACTTCCTCCGCGTCATCTGAATTGAGAACTACAATACTACTCGCAGGGCTACTCGCAGCAAAACTGGACTGGCCCGACTTCTTTTCTTGGGGTTCCGCCACAGAGGGTGTCGGCTTCGGTGGAGGGAGCTCAGAATCTGGTTTCGGACTTGTCGTTTGGTGAGCGGGAGTCTGATGGAGAAAGAAAAGGAAGGTGACCAGATCAAGCGTTCTGTCGAGTAAATACTAGTGCATTGCCACTTAATCCATATAAGTAAGCAGCATGTATGACATAAAATCAGTAAATCGGTAGTGGTACAACTTATTACTAGCCGTCGGCAAATCCTACGTCTTAAGCTCTGTAGAATAGAGTGGACATAGACTACGCGTTATTTCACAATCTAGAAACTGCAAAGCCCACCTCTTCTGGCTCAGGAGTGACGTCTTTTGGCTTCTTGAAGGTAAAGTCACTGGCTACGGGCGTCCTCGCGAGAGACGTCGGTGTAGCAGGCTCACCATCCGCGACCTCCTCGAGAACTGAGAACAATAAAATTACAAATTAACTGCAGATATGTGGACTCGAAGTTGTTATTATCGTAGTTCAGAGGAGAAAATAGCCCGGTGCAATTAAAATGATTCAAGTCAGCAGAAATTGCATAAAGAATCCAACAGATAAACGCTCATTAACCCCCCACCCCACCCCACATACAGTACGCGCCAGAATTCGTGCAACATGCCGACATATGCGAAAGACTGA